TAACAACAACAACAACAACACCATATTGATGCCCAGACTCTGTACCACAACATAGAATCTAAACCTCAGGATCCTAGGCATCATAATTTTAAGAGAAATTCTTAAAATTGAGTTCTGTTAGAGAAGAGACATAAGGAATGGATTTGGCCTGGGAAAACAGTGTCTGGTACATCTGCTGTCACCAAGGGCATTGCTGGCACACAAGTGAGATGAAGCCAAGGGGACATCAGAGGCAGAGCTGGAGCCCAGAGGCCAAGACTGGCATCCTTCTTCCAGATTTCTGAAGTGTGAGATGATGAATTTCCTTATCATTTAACTTTTGTTTTGAATTTAGATTTTGCTGTTGTTTCAACATCATCTCAACAGATAAGGGACTTGGTCATTATTGGGAGCCCTGAGGACTCCAGGGTAGGATGAGCAAAGGAGAGATGGCCATGCTTGTGGAGAGGTCTGGTGGTGGCTCTGGAGACAGGCTCCTGACATCCAAAACAGATGGGATGGGAAGGAAGCCTGCCTGCAATTGCAGTAGTGGGGGAAGGGTCAGAGCCTGTGCCCAGGGACCTGTGGTTGGGGGTACATGGCCCGTATCAGCTCTTCAGCTGGTCATCTATACATGTAGCAAATTCTCCACTCTCTGTACAGCACTGCACTGAAAAGGTTATTTTTCTTGTCTGTTTATCCATACGTTTGTTGTCTTTCTCTGCCCACGTGGGAGAGACATTTGTTGCCTAACAAATAATGATTGCTTCTCTCCATTTCCTAGCACTTTTTCAGCCCTGTGGGCTATGCTCCGGTCAATGGGGTCCAAGTGGAAGTGCCCTGGATGTACCCCTTCAGGTCTTCTTTCCCCTGCTTGGGTGAACTCCCTATCCCTAAATGGAGATGGTGGATTTTCTGGTTGACTTTGTGAAGCAGAGCCCCACCAACCTCCTGATGGGTAAACGATATTTTGAGCTGAGCTTGTTATGGGAACATAACACAGTCTAACCCAACTAAACACTCCAATCACTATAAGCTCCTCAAAAGTACAGCACTTCATTTCTTTCACAACCATCCCCAGAAGTTCACTCAATAAACATTTGTTGAGTGAACAAATAATGGATGAAATACTCCTTTCTATTCTATAGCAATGGCAAAGGATAAAGGGTACTAACAAAATGTAAGAAAGATGGAAAGCCTTTTATGGATTGAAACTTTGTGTTTTAATTTGTAACTTGGAAGAAATGATGATTACAAAATCAAAATATTTGTGAGACTCTAAACACCAGAGGCAAGCGGACAAAGGAACTGAAGAATGATTCGAGAAGGCTGTGGCACCTCTGCTGTGAGTTGGGATGTCACTGTGAATTCTGTGCACTTTGCAGTGTGGAGCAGACTGTGGTGGGAAACCCGGAAATGTCACCTGTGCTCCCTGGTATCATATGAGTTGGGACTATTCTTGGTCATTTATGTTTTGAAGAACAGTTATTGTTTAGAAGCCTTGATTCATTGTAATTTTTTTAGCCTATTCCTTAATCTGTGTAATGGAAAGAACAATCAAGTAGGTTGACTCAGGGTGCGGGGGCTAGGCCAAGTTTTTTTCCCAGTTGTTTTCAGTTCAACTGTAACCTGGCAATAGGACAGGTTGAGAAAAGGTTAGGTTTGGGACTTTATGAATAAAACAGTTTATACTGTATTGTAGTAATAGTAAATAAGAAAAGGAGAATGAAGAGGAGAAAAAAGAGAGACAATTGTGACTGGTACCATATGCTCGAATTCCTCCCTCTGGAACACACAGGTGTCTCCCTTGGAACGCAAAGCCTTCTCTTCTAGAAGCTGAACATGTCCAGCTCTGTCAACATCTCCTGATGAGGAGCCACTGTGGTGTCAGCAAAGAGCAGCTGCTCCTGAGCTGTAGTACCTGTGACTGGTACAGTCAGACCTTGGCCAAGTGACATCACACCCAAGCCTTAGATTCCTAACCTATTAATAGGTTCACACCTTCAAGATACAGGGCCATGAAGGGGTGGGGGTAGAGAAGACAAGGCTGCCAGCCAAGGTTCTCTCCTTTCTCCTACCTCTGGCTGGGGACAGTTGTCATTTTTTAGGGTGTTGCTTGTGAGACCCTCAACTTGGAAGGGCCCCAAGTGGTTTTGATGAGAACAACAGGACACATCATTGTTGATTAGGACATTGTCTTCATTGTTAATAAGGTTTAAGATTTCAGGGCTGTATCTTGGTTCTTATTTTTTCCCTACCTAAAATGTACCAATAAAAGGATTTAAGCAAAAATTTAAAAAAAAAAAGATTTCAGGGCTGTTTCATCACAGAGCTGGCTTATACAGATCTTGTTATCATTTAAAATCATGTAATTGTAGATGTGATGATGGCACGAGGTGAGGAGAGTCAGAGCAACCAAACACCAGTGATACCACAAACACATTCACTTATTAATTTACTCAACAAGTATTTATTAAGCATGCACTATGTGCAGCTCATTGTTCTATCCCTTACTTTGAACTTATCAGCATACTGAAGTGGCATATTTTGGTGTGCCATTTCTAGAACTCTTTCATTGTGTTAGGAAATACAATTAAAATAAAAATCTCCAACCCAGGAAACTTTCCACAAAGGTAGCAAAGAAAGAAAATGGTTTACTTACTCAACAAGCATCAAGTCAATCTGTTAAGCATTTGCAAAGACAGAGAGAAATCTCATCCCCTTATAGCCAAGCAGGTATAACCCAATACATGTGTTTTGAAGATAAACAATAGTCCTCGGGCTGGGGATTTAGCTCAGTGGTTCTGCCGCCTGCCTCACAAGCAGAAGGACCCGAGTTCAATCCCCAGTACCAAAAAAAACACAAACAAACAATAGTCCTCAAGTAAGAGGATTAACAACATCATTTGTCACACATGGTTTATCCTGACTCTGTGAACTGAATTGTGTTGCTTCCCACCCCTAAATTCATATGCTGAAATCCTAAACCCTGGTATCTCAAAATGTGACTGTACTTGGAGACAAGGGCTTTTAAACAGGTGATTAAAGTCCTATGGTAGCCCTGAGAAAGAGTGAAGTTGGATATATGGAGACAAAGAGAATGTGCCTAATCAAATAATAGATCCTGTGAAGATACAATGAGAAGGCAGCTGTCTGCAAGCCAAGAAGGGAGGCCTTTGGAGAAACCAACCTCCAGATTTCCAGCCTCCAGAACTGTGAGAAAACTGCTGTTTGAGCCACCCAGTCTGTACTATTTTGTTACCCAGCCTTGGCAGAATAATACGAACTGTACCTGGGAACCAAAGTGGCCATTTGTGCTAACTAATTGGCTTTATCTAAAGGAAGAACAGACTTCTTGTGTTTTTATAATAGGAAGTAGCTCTGCAACATGTAGGGAGGTGCCTACTGGAAGTTACCCTCTCCTACCCTCTCCTAAATAAAAGTTATAAGGGCAATTGCTTGAGATGAGCTTTCTGCACTGGCTCCCAGCAGACTTTGACAGCCCAGAATGGGGCTAATTTTTTTTTAGCAAAAGAGGCTTCTAAATACCTGACTACCTCAGAAGAAAACACAAATGAAGCTTTTAATGAGTAACAGGGTAAGGATTCAGGAGTTTGTCATCTTGCCCTGTGGTGGTCTTTGTGTTACATGGAAGCAAGGACAGACACCACTCAGTTGAGTCTCACTAGGAAGGAAAGTAGAGAAATGAGACAGTAACTAGGAGGGGAGCAGGTTAGGAGAGGATCCTGGTTTTGGTGCCATTCACCTCTGTGCATATTTGTAGAGTAAGTCACAGGTGCAAATGGGAAATCATATCACTGCCTTCAAATAATGAAGAGTAATTTACTTTCTGCCTCTCACTGGAGGGAGGGAAGCACAAAAAACAGATAAAGGGGTCTTTGGGTTGCTGGGGGCGGGGCTTGGAGTTTTAAACATAAGGTGTGAGGTTCTAGGGATGAAGACAGGGCCAGTACAGAAAGGGTAATGGTGTAGGAGAGAAGAGCGTCCACACCAGCAAGCAGGGCTCTGAGGTGGATCAGAGGCCTTTGCTAGGAGCACTAACACCTGGTTCAGTGCAGGAGGAGGTACAGTCATGGCAGAGGCAAGACCTGGGGCAGCTGGTGACAGCATGGGGCTGCTGTGCCTTCATCCACAGATGCACTGCCCAGTTGCACAAAGGTGGCTTCTATGATGCCAGGAGGGTCTATGTAGAGCACCTGGCAGGGTAGGCCCTGCCCACAGGATTCTGCCCCAGTCACCAGCCCAGTCACATCGGGTTGATTCTTGGCTCTTGCTGCATTCAATGCCTCAGACCATTGCTCTACTCAGACTTCCCTCTCTGGACCCTGGGCTGGGTCCTCAAGGCCCCGAGGCTAGAGCCAGGGACAAGAGGATACCTAACAGGTGGCAAGGACACCAAAGGTCCTGATGCTGACAGGGCTTCCTGTCCTTTTGCCCCATGAATTGTACTCTGACAACAGCAAGGGGCTTCTTGTTGACCACTGTGCTGTCTTGTGGAGTGACCCCTGCCATAGAAGCCACGTCTGATTTGAGAAGAGCTTTTTGTCTGTGGGTCTGGAGCCACTTTATCATTAAGGCTCGGCCTCCTTGGCTTCTCTTTGGTTGGACAAACCAGGAATGGAGCTGACATCCCAAAGTGTAAATGGAAGAAAGATATCACCCTGACACCAAGGCCTCCTGCCTTGAAGCCCTGTAGGTTGGCATGGGGCCATTGCGGGGTCTACATGGGCTTATCAGAATGACCAAGCCTTGAGAGGCAGTGAATTCAGGTTAGACAGGATTGGTCGGTACAGCATGAAAAAGAACCATCACATACATCATTTGACTATTCACTCAGAAAGCTTTATTGGTTTGTGTCTAGAAAAGGGGGCACTTAGAGAGGTGAGGCCTGGGTCTATCTGGGAGTCGGGGACACGCACAAGTCAGAGAGGAACAAGAGGCCAGGGTTAGGGACTCCAGGAGTAGTTCTCCAATGGACATGGAAAGTCAGCAAGGGTGTCTCACCCCACAGCGGGTGCAAGCACAGATGGGTCAACTGGAGCAGCCTCCTCAATGCTGGGGCATCTACAGAAGGACAGGGAGGGGGCAGTGAGCACCAGGGACTTGCCGATGTCCTGTACAGCCCACTCTCTCTGACATCCCCTCCTGCTTCTCACCTTGGCTAGGCTTGGTGGGCACCTGACCTTGTGGGCTTCATCATTCTGCAGAGACCTCACCAAGCAGGAACGACAGTGGGAGAAGGTCTCAAAGCTCTTCTTGCCATGCTAGGCCCCCATGCCACTGTGCTCTGTGGAGGAGCCGCTCAGGGCAAGGAGCCCATGCCAGTTGGACCTACACCCTCATGGGAGGTGACTGATCCCTACCATGATCACCAGAACATCTACGGTGGGGATAAAAGAGTGCCCAGGAAGAGTCTAATCTCAACTACATCACTAAATGGTTACTTGCACCTGGAGTGGGACCTTTGTGAAACAGGCCTGTGCACCAGGTGAGTTCTAGATCTCATGGGACTCAGAGGCAGAGGCTTGAGGCACAAACGGGAGGGTCAGAGGAAGTCTGAGGCCCCTGGATGCTCCAGGCCCTCTTGAATCCCCTTGTGGGTTTGTCAAGCCCCAGGGGCCCCAGGAGGGAGGCAGGTGGCAGTGAGCCTAGCTCCAGACTCACCCACGCCCCCAAAGGGCAGGGAGTGTATGGTGATGTGGACAATGACATCGTTGGCTGTCACCCCACCACTCTAGGTCTCTGCAATCATCTTCTTAATCACCTACATTGAGACCCAGCTGCTGGCCTTGCACTCCTGCTCAGGAGGTGCCCCAGCCTCCCACCCTGTGCGACTATGTCCCAGAGCCACAAGAACCAAGCTGGTGGAGACAGAGCCCCAGCCACCAGCTCCTGCATCCTCAGCCACAGTCACTATCTCCAGCCACCCCCTTGCCCCATACCACATGACCCTCAGGACCTCACAGTGAAATAATAAGAATAACAGCTCAGATGACTGTGAGCAGGACACTGTGTTGATTATCACTTCATTCAAAGCTCTCAAGGGATGCTTCTGTCCTGATCTTTCCAAAGAGGCTCTGAGAGGTTAAGTGACTTGCTCAAGGTCACACAGCTGATGAACAGGGAAGCTGCAATTTGAGCCCAGCACTGTGGCCCCCTGGATCCTGTCTGTATGTGAGTGTTGGACCTGGGAAGCCAGGGCCCTGGGAAAAGCCCACCTTGTCATTACTGGAGAACACATAGAGAGCCAGCGGCTTCTTGCACCGGTTGATGAACTGAACGGCTTCCTCCAGGCTATGCACACACACAATGGGCATCACTGGTCCAAAGATCTCCTCCTGCAACACTGGGGACTGAGGGTCCACATCCATGAGGATTGTGGGGGCTGAGGGAGGAAATGAGCCAGAGTTACTCTGTGTATCTAGCTCCTGCCCTCACCTCTTTGCACAAGAAGCTGCCCAGGCTTAGTGAGCGGAATGAGGCCCAAGAGGTTTTTCCATGGCCTCCACCCATCTTAGGTTTCTGTAGCAGACTATGGGAACAACTATGGTTTAACCTGCATGGGAGGAGTGATCTCCAAATCTGCCGGCCACCTGGGTCCCTCCTGGAGCTTATCTGTCTCCTCAACAAATTGGGGGCCAAATGGGCCATATCTGGTGACCCCTGGGGCTAAGCACTGGGGGTACCTCACATCTTGGCCACCTGGGGCTCTTGTGGCCTCTGCTATTCTCATCTGATGCACAGAGATGGGAAGAGATGACATCCTTGTCTCTGGCCTTGTGGGAGGGGGCCTTGGGCATCCTAGAAGCCACGTTCAGCCCCTGCCTGCTGAGGGTCCCAGGGCCAACCCCAGGCCCACTGGTAAAGTGATTTATGTTGTTGCTACAGAGGTTTGCCTACTTCTCAAGTATCTGTGCTCAGTTACTGCAAACTTGTCCAGGACCTTGGTAGCCAGGGCAGGCAAGGCAGTGAGGGAAGGCACATACCTATGTAGCGGGAGGCTTCTTCTCCAGTGCCACCATGAGCCACTTTCTGGCCCCTAATCAAGCCCATCACCCTCTGGAAGTGTCAGGCATTGATGATTCTTCCATAATCATGGGACTTCTTGGCATCTTCCCCATAAAACTCCTCAGAAAAGATGGGTTTCAGGAAAGGACGTGGACTTTTGTCATGGCTGAGGCTTCCTGGACACATGATGACAGGGATAGTCCTTTATCTCCATTATGCTTTTTAATCTTTCCCAAGTCACCCACAGTGAATGTATATCCTTTTTTATGACCAGAAGAAAAAAATCCAGTATTTGCTTAAATCCTGATGTCTATTGTGGCATCATGTTCAGCCCTACATGCCTACAGCTTCTCCCTTGCAGCCCCTGGGGCCCTTACTCACCTTCAGTGACTTTTTGAGCTTCTCCACGATTTGGTTCTGGATCAAGGGGTCACACAGAATGTAGTCAGGGGCCACACAGGTCTGGCCGCTGTTCGTGAATTTTCCCCAGGCGATGCATCTATGAAAACTGCCAAGTGAGCTACAGTCCTCGAGCCACAGGGAGCTCCCCGAGAACATGTATTTGTGCTCCGGGTCAAGGTACAGTGGAATTAGTACTGGAGGAGAACCTGCCCATTAGTGGGAGCTGCAGGCTGTGAGCTGCCACCGTTGAGTCCTAAGCCGCCCCTCACCCCCAGACACTGCACTGAGCAGACCAGGACCCTCCTTTCCCCACAGGGGGCTTTGGGAGCCTGCATGTCTTAACCTCATGTGTGACAGATGGAGAATTTCTGGAAGATGTTTGGGACACATGGGCTCTGCGCATTTCTGATCACAGTATGATTAGAATCATCCCGTATGGCTGGGTGAATTGTCTACTTGCATCTCCTAACTTGTACCCCTCATGGGGTACACAAGTGGCCAGACCCCTGGATAGGGTTGGGAGGCCCAGATAAAAGTCCTAAGACCCTAAGTGACAGTGGCCCTTCTTGCCGGTCATGCTGTCTAGACCTCAGGTGATCCCTGCCTTAGCAGAGGGCTACACTTGGTGAAGTTCTTGGGGCACCAAATGCCTCACACCTTCTTCTCCTGCAGCCTCTGCTTGGAGCACTAGGTCTCCAGTGAGGTGTAAGCATCAGAGTTCCACCTGGAGCTCTCCCCCTCCTGGAAGATTTCCTGGACTCCTTGTGCCTTTTCTGTGAATGAGGTCCCCCCAATTCCCACCACCCTTGGAGCTTCTGCCAATGCATGCAGGCTCTGTGGGGGCAGGGACTGAGTATGCTACTTAGAGCAGCACTGCAGCACTGGCAGACTGAATGGCCTCTGCAGCCCTGGCAAATCCAGTCTCCTCACTGACAGGCCACACCAGATCACAGTCCTTGTCCACGTAGGAGGGGCTCTTTCCTCCTAGCTCCAGTGTGGTGGGGGTCAGGTGCTTGGCAGCAGCTGCCATGACAATCTTCCCTACAGCTGTGCTGCCCGTGAACAAGATGTGGTCGAATCGCTCTTTGAGCACCTCTGTGGTCTCAGGGACACCCCCGTTGATCACTGGGTACAGATCCTTCCAAGCAAGAAGAGAGGGAGCCTCAGCGAAAACCTCACTTCTGCATGGCAGGGTGGACAGTGGCTGACATGGCAGCTTGGCACCCCCACCCACCCTGGCTGGCCCCTGCCATCCGGACCACTCTCCTGGCTCAGGGCTCTGTCATCCTGATGGGAGAGGGCAGCAGCTGGGGGCTACACTCCTGAGGCTTGGCCTTTAGATGCAAGAATTCACTAGTTCTCAAGTTCCAAAGACCAGGCCCCCAGCAATCATCTTTGAGCCCTGGAGTGCACCTCACCTTGTCCAGATACTGAGGGATGATGGTGGCCAGCAGATTCGTCATGTTCTCACTTAGCTCTGAGGGCTTGAGGACCACTGCATTCCCTGAAGAGTACGAAGACTCAGGGCCACATTAATGCCCTGCCTCCAGCTCTGTTATCTCAATGACCAAGCCTGGAGCTTGTCCCCCATTTGCGTCCTTGGATGAGTGGAAGGAACTGTTGTTGGCACATGGGCATAGACCACAGGAACAACACAGCACACACACAGGGATACATGCTCTCTAGGGCTGCACCATCTCTCCGTGTAGTTGCTGGGAGGTTGGGAAAGGAGTAGCAGAGATTCTCTGGCCTGGTTGGGAGAGCAGAGCTGCCCCTCCTGGGCCATATTATCTGAAAGCAGTCCCCACCATGGGCAGGGAGAGGCATGCCATGTGAACACCTTTGCCTGACTGGCTTTGGGCACCAGGAGGCCTGGCTAAATGGTTTGGTCCCTGCAGCCTCCTGTGCCAGACCTGTCAAACTGGACCCCAACTGCACACCCCTCTTCGCACAGGGCTGAGCCCCTCCTGGAGTGGAATCTGCAGTACCTGCAGCAATAGCGCCCACCATGGGCTGAACGATAAGGTTGAAGGGGTAGTTCCAGGCACCAATGATGAGGACCACACCCAGGGGCTCTGAGTGGATGTAGGACTCATCCTGCTGCATCTGGGGAGCCTTCTCCACAGGCTCATCTGCAGCCCACTCAGAGAGATTCTTGATCATGTGCTCAATCTCTTCCGGGACATACACCATCTCCTCATAGTAGGTGGTCCATTCATTCTACAGATGAGGCTGCCATGTGAGCCAGGGCACCCTGCCAAGACTGTAGCCAGGACATGAGCAGGGAGCCTCCAGTGCTTGGTGGCCAGGGTTGGTTGGGCTGTTCACCACAGTTCCCAGGCCAGCCAGAGAAGAGACACAGGGAAGTAGAGCTCAGGATTAGCATTGGGGTGATGGGACTGCTAGGGGCCTCAGGGCCTCCTGGAGCAGCCAGGCGTGAGGAGAGAGGAGGTGCAGACAGCAAATTTACACATTTTTCATGAACTTTGCCTGTGAAGTTAAAACACAGAATTTTCTTCTTGTTTTTATTTTAATATGGGAAGTCTTGAGAAATTAGAAAAAACACAGACGCACAAGAGCAGTTGGTGGGTGAGCAGTGGGCTCCCAAGCTCTGGACCTTGAAGGGACACCGCTTCTCTTCTCCCGGACAAGGGGAAGGTGGAAGCAGGTTCAGGTAAGTTGCTGGCAACAAGGTGGCAAGTTTGTGAATTTGTAGGTGTGTAATTTTGTTCAGAAAAGAGATGGAGCAGCCAGGGAGGGAAGGAGGGGGCCATGGGGAACAGGTGCCCTCTGGTGGGGCGGGGGAGCAGCTGTGCTGTTTCCTGATGTGGGCAGCCAGGGCTCCTAGGTGGAGCTGAGGGTGAAGGATGACAGGACCAGAAGTTTGGGTGTCATGTGGGCAGAAGATGGCTAGAATGGGGGGCCTAATGCTGCAGCTGCATGAAGAAGCCAGGCCAGGAGGGAGAAGCTCACAGGTGGCGGGGAAAGGCGTGCCTTGCCTAACAGTGGGATCTGCTTGGGTACAGTGGGGAGCAGTGGCAAAGGAAAGGGTCATGTGCCCCATCTTGGGGCTTGATGGATTGGGAGATCCCCAAGTTGTTCCTCATCTTTTCCAAGCCTCATTTTCTCCTTTGTTTCACGCTCATGAAGCAGTGTTTTGGGGGGCAAAACGCAGGCCTCTGTAAAGTACTCGCACAAAGCAACAGACGCCAAACACGCATCCCACGACTATCCCCATTCATGTCGCATCTCTGCCCCTCTTTCCCAAGCAGCGGCCGCCCCCTTAGCGGAGCAAAAACCTTGCGCAGATCGGCCGGCAGCGCGCCAGTGATGTCCGGCCCTCACTCCTTGATCGTGCGCTGCAGCGCCTCCAGCTGCTGGATCCGGAACTGCAGCGGGCGCGTCTGACCGGAGGTGAAGGCGGCCCAGGCCTGCTTCACCACTTCGCTGATCCTGTTCATGGTATCTGGGGAAAAGGAGAGCACCTCGCAACTGGTTGGGTCGCATCTCTGGGACCTGCGCTCTGCCTCTGCCCTGTCACTCGTTCGCTCTCACTGCACCCTGGCAGCATTAATTTTATGGGAAGAGCCAGGAAAAATGGAATTCCCACTGGAACATCCCGCCCCCTCCTTTTTTTTTTCCTTCTGACGTCTGGTCCCTCTGGTATCTTGGTATGTCTCGGAGCAGATGACACTCCGCAGTGTGTTAGAGGAGCAGGGACGGGGATCCTAAGCATAACCATTCAGAATGGGTTGGTAGTGTGCCAGGGGCAGGGCCCTTCCTGGCATCTTTCCAGGCCTACTCCTGCATCTACCTGTTTGCAAAGCTTATGACACATTCCCAGACAAACGTTCCAAGAGCTCAGCCACCCACTTTCCAAATTCAATGTATGAACATCTGTCATGATTCCACACCCAAACTGATTAAAGAAAAGCCAGCACTCAAATACCTGCAAAGCCTTTTAGTCCAAGCCACTGTACTGGTGACTTGGCAGAGCTGGATCAGACTTTGTTTTTAAACCAATGTATGCTAACACCTAGTGCCAGCAAAGGCCTCAGTGGGCTTTGGGTTTCAGTGCAAAATGTGGAGGTGATTCCTGCTACTGGCACAAGAAAACATACAGGCAAATTTCGATGGTTCTTCTGGGGACTATTGGGCAGAATCTAGGAAAAGCCTTTCCAAACCTTTGTCCGTAATGCAGGAGGTCCATATCCAGGAGTTATTAGTAATTACAGTGTTCCTGAATATTCATGAATAAGAAAGTCGCCACAGTTGATATGTAACAGAGAAGTACCAGGAAGTCCCTACAGGTCCATGGGTACGAGGCAGCTTAAACAAGCTGTGCTGTGGCCGTGTGATGGCGTATTGTGCAGTATTTAGGCATGAGATAGTTATTAAGCATGTTCACAAGCTCTGCCTCCTGCAGATATATCCCGTGCTGTCAGGATAAGAATGGAACAACCTGGGTATTAGGCGTGTGTGTGTGTGTGCGCGCGCACATGCATCCGCGCGCATGTGTGTATCCAGAGTTATTCATATATGCTGCATATATGATAACTTTTAACATCATAAAAAATAAAGCTAATTCCACTTTCTTTTTTTTTTTTTTCTTTTTGGTACCAGGGATTGAACTTGGGTCCTTGCACTTGCACAGCAGTTGGTGAAACCATTGAGCTAAATCCCTGGCCCTGCTAATTCCATTTTCAAAAAGAAAAATTACTCCAAACCCTATATATAGGTACAGTACATGATTCTGGTTGACTTTTGATTTCTGATTCCTTCCACTGCCTCCCTTCCCCATGAGGTGCTGACTCCAGCTCCAGCACCAGACTTTCTGCACAGCAAAGAGGAACCCTGCTGGCACCCAGGGTGCTCCAAGCTTGGATATGGCATGGCATCCTCCCTCCAACCTGACAGGGGGCTGGAAGAACCCCCTCACTGGTACTGCTTGGCTTTGCCAGCATATAGGCAAGGCTTTCCTGCTGATCACAACCGCAGGCATGTAGCCCTGCAGGACTGTTCTCTGATTCCCTGCTGAGCCTATATGATCAGACCAGGGCCACAGTCTCTATCACTGGCCATCAAAGCAGGTGATCCAGCAGGAAAGAGCCTCTGTGAGTGGGACTGGGCTGGGCTCACACCCTAGCATCATCACTCAGAACTGTGATCTCTGGGAAGGATAGTTCCTAGGCCTCATCTGCTTCAGAGTTACTGAAAGATCAATGGAGACACAAAGCACCTGCAAACGTGCCTGGCACTTAGATGGGAGCAGCTATGGAAAGAGCTGGAATTCCTCTCCTGGAGCCAGACTGCTTTATAGGTTGGGCCTTGCTTTTGGGATCTCTCCATGCCCCCTCACTGGTGACCACTTTGGCTCTGCCCTCAGGCATGTCCCATTTTGGGCTCCCCCTCAGCCTCCTCTTTGGTCCTCAAGAAGCTCTGTAGTAGTTCCCATTTATGAATCTACTTCACAGATGAAGAAAGCAAGGCTGAAAACCATTTAATGCCGTCTTTAGTTCTGCAGTTGTTGAGTGCCAAAGTCAAGGTCTGAGACCACTTCCATCTTTATCTGCAGTGCATCCCTTTAGCTACTCATCCCTGATGGCTTTTGGGAGATCAAAGGGCCCTAATGGCACATCAAGGCCTCTCACTCAAAGCCTCTTTGGTCCCTCTGCCCTGCAGCTCACTGGGATCTCAGCTTCCTGGGGCAGGAAGGGGATGAAAAAGCCATCAGAAATCCAGCTTCAGACCCTTAGTGCACTCAACTAGGAGGATGCTCAGGAGATGATGCCCCTGGGACTAGCTCCCTTCAGAGATGGGTGGATTTTGAACCTAAGGGATCTTGCTCTAAGTGCAGACTCTGTCTAGGTACTCCCACCCAGGGGAAAATAAAGGAGGCAGAGGGAAGAGATTACCTTCAGCACAGCCTCTCTCAGTGGCTAGGGCTCCTGAAGTAAGCCAGAGCCAAGATGGGTCATATTTAAGAATGCTTCCTCCCTCCCACTTGGCCCTCTTGGAGCCCCTGCCCAGGAAGTTTGCATGACAAGGAAAAAACAATATGCAAATATGGGGTGAAGCATAATCCAGACCTCTGCTCCCTGAAGCTGGGGTTTTGTGTTGTTTTTTTTTGCAGCTGGGGTTTTGAGGATTAGGTTTTGGGTTGTCTGTTTTTGTTTTATTTTGAAATGGAAAATGTGTCTGTGAAGGCTTGGGCAGGGCTCACATCCAATCCCCAAAGGGAGTTCTGTGTTTTCCCTGGGTGTGGGGGCCGCTTACTAATTCAGCCTGGTGTGAACTTCTTCCAAATTTCCCAAGATGCTGATTGTCAGATGCTGTTCTCCCAGTTCCTTCTTATGTAAGGTTCACAGCAGGTGAGCCAGGACTCATGGGACCATGCACACAGCGCCCCAAAAATGCACCCCCAAAATTCACAGCCTCCTCTGTCCTCACCATATGCATAGGTGCCCTGGCCCCACTAAAGCAGAGACCCCAACCTGCAGGCTGGAGTTTTCTCTGGGGTCCCCACTGTAGCATGGATCAGCATGTTCCCCTACTACCTGGCAGAAAGAGGGACAGGTCCAGTGAGAACTGCCAGGAATCTCCCCCGCATAGTCTCTGTGGTTTAACAAATGTTTACAGGGCTTCTGGCTCTGCACACACCTTGGGGGTGGAGGCAAGCACAGAACACTACAACCAATCACTTCTCACACCTCCCCTGGCACTAGGTTCTCAGCCTCTTCCTACCAGACTCTTCCTGCCATCCCTACACACCAGTAGGCTGTTTACCAGCCTTTGGATAGACACAAGTCCCCACCATGGCCTATGAGGGGAGGGTTCTTGGCCCTCCCACTCCCTATATGCTAGTGTTCTGCACCATTTATCCACCCACATGCCCCTGCTCACATGCCATGTTAAACTCCACCACCAGACGTTTATATCACTCTGACATACTATTTGTGTGCATTCATGTGCTGCATAACCACAACCACACATGTACTGGTGATTCCTTAAGAATATTATGGAATTGAAAAATTTCTATCATCTGGTGACACTATGGCCATAGTAACACTTTGTGTTTGTGGTGACACTGGTATAAATGAAAGTACTGTACTGCCAGTGATATAAAGGCATATAGCACAGGGCAGGCCTGTAGCTCAGCAGCAGAGGACTTGCCCAGCTTGTGGGAGGACCTGGGCTTGATCCCTAGCACTACAAAAAAGAAAAAGAAAAAGCTTCAGTTGTAGCATAGCTTGGGCTGTAATATAAAGTCTTGCAGATACCTGTTTTTAGATTTTAATCTTCATAAACCCTGAAAATCCATCCCTAATTGCCTCATCCTGACCTGGGCTCTCTCTTCTTTGTGGGCCACTGTCATTGCCACCTGCTTGCTCTGTCATACCTTTTCTAAGTGGCTAACAGAGGAATATTTAGACAATGAACTCCTGAGAATGTCTCCCCACAGATTCACATCCCTCATTGGCTTCTTGTTTGTCTTAGGGAAGAAAATCCCATGGTGTTTGAGTCCCTGCATGTGTTGACTTTTGGTTTCTTTACAAGGCTCATCTCATACCACTTCATATCTTTCTCACTACATTCTAGTCCACTAGCATTCCTTGAGTGGGCTGGGGATTTCCTACCTCAGGGCCTTTGCACATGCCATCATCTCTCCCTGGGACAATTTTCCCTCTACTCAGCAGTAACCTTACACTTACTCATGTTCAGATCTCACCTTATCTGCCCCCATTCCCCCCAGTAATACTTTCTTCACTTCCAAGAACCTGATAAAATTTGCAGTCAAATCTTCGTTGGTGTAACTATTTTGATGTTTTCTTCTCCTCTTGTCCCTCCATGGACTGGAATTTCCATAAAGGCAGTGATCTCATTTTGTTCATTACCATATCCCCAGCATTTAGCACAGTGCCTGGCACATAGGAAGGCCTCAGCAGTACGGAAGTAGCCTAAGGTACCAATTATCCTGCAGCTGCTGGTGCTGGGTGGGGTCTGAGAAATAATTTATCATTTAGCAAGATGATTTTCAACAAATTCATCTATACCTAGAAAAAAAATGTGTTGAATAAATGAAAATGGAATTTGTTCATGTTTCAAGGAACACTTAGATTAGAAATCGCTTTTGGGACAGAAAAATGACTTTCTTTTTAAGGTAGAAGGGAAGAAGACAGCAAGTCTTGAAGATTCCCTCTCTGTTCTGAGTGGAGAGGAAGGCAGGAGGGATATGAAGGGTCGGAGCAGGCAGGAACACCTGGGGCACAAATCTGGAGGAGGCAGCCCAGCTGTCAACCCTAAACTGAGACTGTGAGTCTGACATAGGGGTCAGGCCACCAGCAGGTGAGGGAGCTGACAAGCTGTGCTGAGCCTGCACAGTCCCCAACTTACAAGGGTTCAACTTAGTGACTTGCTCACTTTAGGATGGTGTGGAAGTGATGCACACAGATTCAGTAGAAACCATACTTCAGATTTTGAATTTGATCCTTTTCGGGGAGGCAGTGAAATGTAAGATTTCTTCTCTCTCTATGCTGGGCCCTGTGCCTTCCTTTTTTCTTCTTTCCTTCTCTTTTCTTCCATCTTTCTTTCCTTTTCCTTTTCTCTCTCTCTCCCTATCTCTCTTTTCTTCTTTCCCTCTTCCTCTCTTTTCTTTCTTTCCTTTCTTTCCTTCCTTCCTTCTCTCTCTCTCTCTCTCTTTCTTTCTCCTCTTTCTCCCTCCTTGCTCTCTTTCCTTTTCTTTCTTTTGTTTCCTTCTCTTTTTTTAGTCCTTGGGATGGAACCCAGGGCCTTGCACATGCCAGGCAAGTGCTTTATCACTAAACTATACCTTCAGCCCTAGCTTAGCATATTTTCAATTCATAATGAATTTACTGAGATACATCATAGGTGAGCTTTGAGGTAAGTTAGAAGGGTCCCTTGATGCTAGGATAAATAAATAGAGAGCCTCTGATGAGATTCCCAGGCTCCCTCCAGAACCTAAAAGCTGCCAGTAGGAAAATGCACACACAGTGGCTTTTATGAGCAGATAGAGGCTGTCTGTGAACGTGTGCTGGAAACATTTGGGAATCTCCCAAATTCCAGCCAACATAAAATGCTGATAGGGACAGGTTTGGCAGGAGTTTCTACAAGTAGAAACTTACTTATCACTTATTTGGAGAAAGAGCACATGAGCAGAAAGGGCAGCCGGCATCGACAGGACCCCTCACAGAGCCATGACTGAGCAGGCTGCCAACTTCCCCTTTCCTAAGTCAGGGGCTGATGTCACTGGAGATTGATGGCATGTGGCAGCTCCCATTCTGTGCCCATCAAACTTTCTTCCAACACTCTTGCTTCCCACACTCTTGCTTCCCCAGGCACTAGAAAGCAGAGAGAAGGGATTTTGGTATCACGGACTTTGCAGCTATTCTTGTCATAGTAAAAAAGACACAGAAGTGTTGGTGAAAGCCTAGAGGTGTGTAAAATGGTGAAGCATCTTGGGAAAACAGTGTGGCAGTTCCTCAAAGGATTATATAGGTAGAGTTACCATATGACCTACCAGTTTCATTACTAAGCCTATATGAAAGAGAAATGAGACCACGTGCCCACAGAAAACCTACA